TCAGGGTCGCGGAATTTAGTCCTGCCAGGCGTATTAATCCCACTCACCTTGGGGATTTGTCGTGCCAACTGCCTTTAAGTCATTAAGACAATTTTCGGACACGAAATTCACATATCCTATACGAAAGTGAAAGTTTAGCACAGCTGGCAATGTGTTGAAAGCACATTCAGCGTTCGCTCAGGTGTCTCTTTTTGGAAAAGGTGGCCCTATTCGCAAGCACAGGAGGTGTTGCACTGCTCAACAATAGGTGCTCAGGTTGCTGAAGAAGGTGCTAGGTGCACTAAACGATCCAAAAACGTACCAGGGACCTTCGAATTTCTTCTTCGAACTTCCGAATTTTCATACAGTATAAGTTTTGGGAGTGTGTTGTCATTCACAACATTCAGATGGATCTCAAATCCTGTGGGGGATGAGGGGAGGGGGGGGGAGAGCTAATCAGGCCGATTCGATTCCCGACCATCAATACCTCCCTCACACTATTAGATCACGTCTACTACTCTTTTGACACTAACGGTGAGATGTACTCCAGTTCACTGCGGACGAAGGGGCGTGTCAGGCATATGAGTGTGCTCCGGCGCCCCGTTCCCTGCCGGTTTCTGAAACGGGTATTCGACAATTGCTACAAAACGAGTGATACGAGCGACACGATTCTGTTTAGTCACTTGCTCGCTTCAACTAGTGGAGAACGGGTCCGGCACCGCGCAAAATTCATCCCACCTGGCACGCTCCTTCGTCCGCAGTGAAGTACACTATATCTATGCCACCTTATTGGCCTTGCATAGCTTGTTATCCTGGTTTCCAAGCACACCAACGGCTACGAGAATAGAATTATTGGGCGTTGATCGGTATTATGAAACTGCTTGGCTAGACAAATAATATGTTAGCTTTTTTATGACAATGAATCACACTTTCACGCACCGAACGGAGCTGCTAACTGCTCACACCCCAGAGTTACGAAATCACTCCAACTAGTCCTAAAACTGATCATCTCGCAATTCCACTGTTATATTTTAATCGCTTTGTAATTCTAGTCATTGTTAATATTAGCGATACCGGTTTCTATCTACTAAGTTATTATCGCGCTGTAGTCAGAAATAATGAACGATTCGTCGCGAATTGTGTCATATGATTTACTTACGTGACAGTTTTCGGAGTAACCTTTGTCATCATTTCAGTGACGGCCGACCAGGTGTAGCCGGTAGCGCCGGCATTCGTGGACCTCAAGGTGATCGCGGCAGTAAAGGGCCACTTGGTTCGCCGGGTCCAGTTGGTCCACCGGGACCTGTTGGACAGTCTGGTCAGTTTTCAGAGAGGCTTTTCTTCACCTTACTTTACGTCTTTATAATTCATTCCTGTAGAATATGTATACTCCTTATCCCTGAGACGGGTAGGCGTGGCATTCGAACATGGCACAGAACTGGTTACTCGTGGGATATTTCAATTTGAGACAACCGCCATCTTGTTCTTTGTTGGACAGAGACGTGACCACATTTGGGTCAAAATGAAAATATCTCTCCAAAAGCATAGCGACGTTCAGTTGAAGTACGCAGCCACGCCTACCTCATCTCAGGGATTTCGAGTGTAGCCAGGTGTAAAGTAATTTTAGAAAATCGGACATGAATCCTTAAGGTTAAAAGAATCACTTACTGCAGTTTTTCTTTAGAAACCTAAAACCTAAAACGAACGAACCAAAAATCCATTTCATTCAGGATCGTGCTCCCATTGCCAAGTGAACGTTCACAAGCCTCATCGAACAAAATCGCCAAGTTCCGTGCCTCCAAGTCCTATCACGCACGAAACACCCGATCTTGGCTACGGCGAAGAAGTTTCCAGTGAGCCAAGAGTGCAACCAACTCGACCACCGACATCAACGAGACCTCCCACAACACAAAAGAAACCTTCACCATCGCCGGTCACATCACCACCTGCCTCATCTCAGCCGCCACCACCAGCATATTACTCTGACGTAATGAGCCACTGAGGTGCCCCTGCTCTCCCGACCGCTATCATCGTAGCACAGGCGATAGTTCGGCAGAAACTGTTCCACTGAGATCAGATCCGGAACCGGCGTCGTACCAGCCTCCCCCTCCAACTCATTACTCTGCGTTACCCACCACCACCAACAAACCTGCGGACTATTCACCGCCTATCGTCGCCTTCCAACCGACGCAGCATAGGGTACAGCCGTCCACCATTGTCTCCGGCTATGATGAGAGCCAGTTGAAGCTGAACACTCCGAGCCACATCAAACGAAGCATCTACTCCACGATCAACTCCATTATGCATGGTCGGCCAGCCCGGGCCTACTCACACGGCGAATCAATCCCATTCGACATCCAATACCCGTGAGTCAAAACTAAGCAGTCTGATTGAACAGGCACTGTTATCGATCACTTTCAGCGATCCTCGAATCTTTTTTCAGGGCTACAATGTGCAACTCGTACCCAGCTCGTACAGTGCCAATCCTGTCGGAAGATCATGGGATGCAGGCACGCCCACGAAGTATAACCCTGCCCACTACCAACAAGTGGCCCCACCTGCTCCCAGGTACAAACGTGGATAAGGGCACGGACGTTGGCGCCAGCACGAGCGCTGTAATATTGTGGTATTCTGTAATGCTCAATTTTGTTTACATGCTGTATTTTATTTCGGGACGGCTTGGTGATGAGGATTAGTTGATTCTGACAAAATGATTGCTCATATCATTATCTGTAATTAAGGCTTCACGGTTACGTATTAATCAATTTTTGTTCGAATTGGTACGTCTTGTATTATGAAGATGTATAGTAC